ACAAGGTCCCTCACGGCAGACTGGTACAAAAGGTGAAGTCACATGGTAACAGGGGTGAGCTGCCAAGATGGATACGAAACTGGCTAAGTCATAGTAGACAAAGGGTGGCATGGAAGTATGCTTTTCAGAATGGAGGGTTGTGACTAGTGGTGTTCCATGGAGATCAGTGCTGGGACCTCTACATGATCTACATTATGATTTGGAGGAAAACATAGCTGGTCTAATCAGGAAGTTTGCAGAGAATACAAAGATTGGTGGATTTGAGAATAGTAAGGAGGATTATCAGAGGATACAGCAGGATATAGATCAGTTGGAGCCAGAAAAATAGCACTTAGAGTTTAATCCGGACAATTGTGAGGTGATGCATTTTGGAAAGTCAAGTACAGATGGAAATTATACAGTGAATGGCAGAACCCTTTGGAGTATTGATATGCAGAGAGTTCTAGATGTGCAGGCCCTCAGATCACGGAAGGTGGCAGCACACATAGATAAGATAGTACAAATGATCGACAGCATGCTTCCCTTCATTGGAAGGGACATTAAGTAGAAGGATAGACATGTAATGCTGCAACTTTATAGATCTTTAGTTAGGCCACATTTGGAATATTGCATACAGTTCTAGTCACACACTACCAGAAGGATGTGGATACTTTGGTGAGGGTGCAGAAAAGGTTTACCAGGATGTTGCCTGGTATGGGGGATTTTAGCTATGAAGTAAGGTTGGATAGACTGCAATGGTCTAAGAGGATATAATCAACACTCTCTTCTCTATGATTATCCTTCACCAATCCCTTCTCTTTGGTGAATACTGACAAAAAGTATTCATGTAAGACCTCTTCTACCTTGTCTGGCTCCACATAGAGATTCCTTCATCTGTCCTTAAGTGGGCCAACCCCTTCCCTGGCTACCCTCTTGCTTTTTATGTATGTATTAAAAAAGCCTAGGGATCTTCATTAATACAGTTTGCTAATGACTTTTCATGACTTCTTTTAGCCCTTCTAATTCCTTGCTTAAGTTCTTTTTTATTTTTCTTACCTATGTCAAGGGCTTTGTCAGTGATGAGGGAACATAAAATCTCAAAATCTGCAGATGACACAAATCTGGTTGGAACAGTAAGCTATGAGGAGGATGCAGAGATGTTGCAGTTTGGACAGGCTGGGTGAGAGGGCAAATGAACGGCAGTGCAGTATAATGTGAATAAATGTGAGCTTATCTGCTTTGGTAACAAATATAGAAATGCAGATTATTATTTGAATTACTGTAAACTGAGAGAGTGGAATGTTCAATGAGACCTTACAGCACAGTGGTACAATGCTGCCTCACAGCGTAAGGGATCCGGATTTGATTATGTGACTGTCTGTGTGGAGTTTGTATGTTTTCCCTTGTCCACATGGGTTTTCTCCGGGTGCCTCAGTACTTTCCCACAATCCAAAGATTTGGTGGAATTAGCAAATGTGTGCAGGGTTACGGGAGAGCGTGGATGGGTGTTGATGGGTTTGGGTGAGATGCTGTTCAGAGGGTTGGTGCAGATTCGATGAGCAGAACTGCTTACTTCTGCAATGTAGGGATTCTATGACCTGAATGTCCTTCTACAGCAGTCAATGAAAGTAAGCAAGCAGGTGCAGCAAGCAGTAAAGAAGGCAAAATGTGCACAGGCCTTCACAGCAAGAGAATATGAGTACAAGAACAAGGATGCCTTGCTGCAACTATACGGGGCATTGTGAGGCCACACCAGGAGTGTTATGTGCAGTTTTGGTCTCCTTATCTGAGGAAGGGTATTTTTGCTATAGAGGGAGTACAGCAAATGTTTGCCAACTTGATTCCTGGAATGGTAGGATTAACATATGAGGAAAGATTGAATCAGGTATGATTGTATTCACTGGAGTTGAGAAAAATGAGGGGGCATCTCATAGAAATCCATAATATTCTAACAGGACTAGACAGGTTAGATGTAGAAAAGATGTTTCCAATGTGGGTGAATTCAGAACCAGGGATCATAGTTTAAAGATAAGTCATAAACCTTCTAGGACTAAGATAAGGAGAACTTACTTCAACCAGAGAACATGTCTGTGGAATTCACTACCACAGAAAATGGTTGAGGTCAAAACATTGTGTTTTCAAGAAGGAGGTAGATATAACTCTTATGTTAAAGGGATCAAAGGATATGGAGGAAGGTGGGATTAAGGTATCGAGCTCATTTATCAGCCGTGACCATTATGAATAGCAAAGAAGGTTTGAGGGGGTCAAATGGCTTACTCCTGCTCCTATCTTCTATGTTTCTGTCAACAGTGGTCACATAGTCACCATTAAACATTGTCAATCCATTTCTTTGTTATTTAATTCAAATTTCACCATGTGCCATGATGGGATTCAAACCCATATCCCTAGAACATTAGCCCGAGGGCTCTGGATTATAAATCCACTGACACTATCACTGCCACATAACTACACTTCCCACTGTTTACCATAATTCTGAGCTTTGTATCATCTGCAAATTCTATATGTCAGAAAGAGCAAGGGTTAGTAATACTGACAGCAATATTTACAAACAACAGTTTTATTTATATCCACACATAATCTTCAGTGAAACACATGGGCTAATGTTACCTTAGTGCTTCCATTCCAGTATCTCGCATTTTGAAGGCACAGCAGAGATACTTTACACCCAAATCTCCAAGAATATTGAAGTCAAGATGAAGTTCTTTAATTGTTCTCAGCTCAACTAGAAAGGATGCAAAAGCCTGGCAACAATTCGCAGAAAGATCGCTCAAGGAAATCCTAGGATATTTGAAAACAGACAATAGCCAGTTGCCATATTTTATAGATGTAATGCGATTTGGTTAACATGATACAAATTAGAATCTGAATAGGAAAAGTCCTGGTAGTTGTTTCATCATTTCTGAGTCAGAGGTAAAAGATTCAGATTCCTCTCTAGAGGTCTGAATACACAATCCAGGCTAACAGCTCACTGCAGTACTGAGGGATAATTAAGGCCACATCGAGCCTCTCAACTGACCCTAAAAATTCCTCTGCTACAATTCAAAGAAAATAAGGCTGTTGTCCCCAGTGCCTTGGCCAACTTTTAATCCTCAACCAAAATCACAACAATTTATCTAGTTATCATTGTTGTGCTGTGGGAACCTGTGATACTTAAATTGAATGTTCCCTCCATCATAATAGTGACTGCACTTCAAAAAGCTGGAAAGTATTTTGGGATGTAGAGTCAAGGTAGTGTGGAGCTGGAGGAACACAGCAGTACAAGCAGCATCAGAGAAGCAGAGATGTCTTTACTTGTTTGTAAAGTTTCACCCTATGACAATAGCTCTGACTTCAATAATCAACCAGTGCTTCGAGAGACTGGGCATGACCCACATCAACTCCAGTCTCCCAACCTGCCTCGATCCCCTACAGTTTGCCTACTGACACAGCAGGTCCACAGAGGATGCCATATCCCTAGCCCTGCAGTCATCCCTGGAACATCTGGATAACAAAGATACTTACATCAGACTCCTGCATGTTGATTACAGCTCAGCCTTCAACACCATTATCCCTTCCAGATCGATTTCAAAACTACGTGACCTTGATCTTGGCTCTGCCCCCTGCAACTGTATCCTCAGCTTTCTGACCCATAAGTTGCAAGCAAGGATAGGTAACTGCACCTCCTCCACAATAACACTCAACACTGGAGCCCCCCAAGGATGGATCCTCAGCCCGCCACTGTACTACCCATACATCTATGACTGTGTTGCCAAATTCCAAATATATGCCATCCCGCCACAGGGGAACGGATATCTAACAACAATGAGTCAAAATTCAGAAGGAAGATGGAGGACTTGGTGACATGGTGCAATGAAAACAATCTGTCTCTCAATGTCAGCAAAACTAAAGAACTGATCATTGACTTCAGAAAGAAAAGAGGAGAACACACCCCCAGCTATATCAATGGAACTGAGGTTGAGAGACGAACAGCATCACGTTCCTCAGAGTGACGATAACCGATGACCTGTCCTGGACTTTCCACGTAAATGTGACAGTCAAAAAGGAACAACAACATCTCATCTTCCTCAGGTGACTCAGGAAATTTGGCACGTCCATATGGTCCCTCACCATCTTCTACAGATGCACCATTGAAAGAACATTGTCCAGGTGCATAACGGCCTGGTATGGCAACTGCACTGCTCAGGACTGTTAGAAACTACAGAAGATGTTGTGCACTGCCCAGACCATCACGGAAGCCAACCTTCCATCCACGGACTCTATTTACACTCAATGCCATGGATAGGTGGCCAACATCATCAAAGACCCATCACACCCTGGTCATGAACTTCTACAACCTCTTCCATCAGGCAGAAGATGCAGAAGCCTGAACACAAGCACAAGCTTCTTTCTGGCTGTTTATCAGACTGTTGAATGGACTCGACCCTCAAACAATGTAAAGAAGGGTCCAGACCCAAAACGTCAGCTTTCCTGCTCCTCTGATGCTGCTTGGCCTGCTGTGTTCATCCAGCTTTACACCTTGTTATCTCAGATTCTCCAGCATTGACAGTTCCTACTATCTCCTAACCTACAATATAACCTGTATGTCTCTAAGTCTTTTTGATCTGTACATCCTTTGCTTGCTGTGATCTGTCTGTACTGCTCATAAACAATGCTTCTACTGTATTTCAGTACACCTGACAATAAAATCATTGCTATAGTCCCTGTCCTATTTGTTGAGGCTCCAGTCACCTACCAGTAAATGCTCACCAGCTGTATGTTATTGAACATAATTAATGTATAATTAATGTAATAGTCCTATTCTACATTGTATTATTCAATGAAGCAATTATGCTGTGAAAAAAAGAGGAAACTGAAAATATTTCCATGTTTCTCCCATACCTCTGGTCTTGAGGCCATCTACTGGAGATGCAGAGAAAAGCATTTCAAGGAGGGAAGAGAATGATCCAGATGTGTTATTTTCAGAATGAAACTTATTTATTCAAATTTGCAAGTTAGTGCTGACTGATGCTTACCTGAAACACTGCATTTTGGAGCTGTGGTTTGTTGATATTTGACACAGGAGTCTGACACCAGTGTCAGTTACCTTATTTGCACTGATGTCCAGGTCCAGTAATTCTGAGTTGTCCTTGACAGCAAAAGCCAATTCTTCACAACAATTGTACGTTAGGTTGTTATGTTTCAAACTGAAAGAATGCATATTTATAATTTAGAGAGACAAGGTGATTCTAATGAACTCATTCTTTATTAATCTGTGAACAATTCTGGCACAGGGGTAAATTTAGCATCAATTATTTTAAAGTTATTTTCAAGCGACAGGATAGAAATAATTTTGGATTTTGCAGTAGAGTTTGAAACTATTCAGCCCCGAACATGTGCATTGAATCTGTTTCATCTGTTTTAAATGACTCTCAATTTCCACAGTGCATCTGCAGAGAGAGAAAAACACAATTCACAGATGGAAACATTGCAAGTCTTCAATGCTACTTAGAGAGCTAATAAGAGACCCAAGCTAGTTCTTCTCAAGAACACCAGTTAGATCCACATGCCAGTCAGACAATGGCAAGGTCCTGGGCAGTGTCCATTTGGAATCAAAAGTCCAAGGGGCAAGGGTCGGCATGGATGGTACGTGGGGAGTGTGTGGGGAGAACATAGAAATATAAAATATAGGATCAGGAGTTGGCCATTCAACTCTTCAAGTCTGCTTTGCCAATCAATATATCATGGCTGATCATCCAACTCTGTACTCTATTCCCACTTTCTCCGAATCACTTTTCATCTCTTTTTTATTTTCTATTCTATTTTACTTGGCCTAACAGTTGCTAGATCCTTTCTCGCTGAATTCTAAAATTCTTCTTCTGCTATCGTTACAACATTTTTGGCAACATTATAAGCATCGTCCTTTGATCTGATTCAATATTTAACTTCACTTTTATGGCGGAGGTAAATTCAACTGAGGCTTTCAAGAGGGCATTAGATGAGGGTATTTGGATAGAAAAGGTGCGCATGGATATGGGGAAAAGACAGGAGATTGGCACTATCTAATAGGCTAAATGTAGCTGGCCTGAATGGCCTGCTTCTGTTCCATAATAATTCTGTGATTTTTGCTAGTCACAGGTACTGCCACATTACCGATCGTGATTTGTGTTTCAAAGGAATATAACTTTGTTGTAAACCATGCATTAGTTCTTAAAAAGCTAGCCATTGCCTATGTATCATCGTAATCTTTACTAGAACAAGAACAAAGAACAAAGCAGCACACCAACCCTGTGCCAACACACTTTGCCCTTCCATGCTAAAACTGTCTTCACTTACAACATCCATATGCCTCTATTTCTGAAGAAGGGTCCCGACCCAAAACGTCAGCTTTCCTGCTCCTCTGATGCTGCTTGCCCTGCTGTGTTCCTTCAGCTCCACACTGTGTTACTATATCCCTCTATTACCTTCCTATTCATGTATTCGTCCAGGTGCTTATGAATGCTGCTACTGTGTGTGCTTCCACGACCTCCTCTGGCAGTGCGTTCCAGGCACTCACCACCCTTTGTGTGTAAAAAGTGCTTTGCACATCTCTTTTAAACTTAACCCCTCACACCTTGAACCTGTGTGCTCTAGTAATTGACCCCTCCACCCTGGGCAAAAGCCTCTTACTTTCTACTCTACCCAGGTCATTTACAATCTTATAAACTTCTACCAGATCACCCCTACATTCTAGTCAAAACAAAACAAGTCTGTCCAAACTTCTTTCATAGCTAAAATCCCCCTTACCAGGCAACATCCTGGTAAACCTTTTCTGTAACCTGTCCAAAGCATCCACATCCTTCTGGTAGTGTGGTGACCAGAACTGTACTCAATATTCCAAGTGTGGTCTAACTAAGGTTCTATAAAACTGCAGCATAATGTGTCTACCCCTAGACTCAATGCCCCTTCCAATGAAGACAAGCATGCTGTCGATCATTTTTACTACCTTATCTACCTATGCTGTCACCTCCAGTGATCTGTGGACCTGCACACCCAGATCCTTCGGCATATCAATTCTCCTAAAGATTCTGCCATTCACTGTATATTTTCCACCTGTATTTGACCTTCCAAAATACATCACCTCGCATTTGTCTGGGTTAAACTCCAACTGCCATTTTTCTGCCCATGCCTCCAACTGATCTATATCCTGCTGTAACCTCTGACATTCCTCCTCACTGTCTGCAATTCCACCAGTCTTTGTATTGCCCACAAACTTACTAATTAAATCAGCCACATTTTCCTCCAAATCATAATGTAGATCATGTAGAGGTCCCAGCACTGATCCCAATGGAACACCACTCATCACAACCCTCCATTCCGAAAAGCATCCTTCCACGCCACCCTTTGTCTACTATGACTGAGCCAGTTCTGTATCCATTCTGTCAACTTACCCTGATATCATGCAACTTCAAATTTTGTACCAGTCTACCATGAGGGACCTTGTCAAAGGCTTTACTGAAGCCTATGTAGACAACATCTAATAATGAATCAGAGATAGTAGGAACTGCAGATGCTGGAGAATCCGAGACAACAAGGTGCAGAGCTGGATGAACACAGCAGGCCAAGCAGCATCATAGGAGCAGAAAGGCTGACGTTTCGGGCCGG